ATATAGGGTAGCCTGGTATATAAAAGAGGGTGACAACGTGACGGGAGAATAATAATGTGTGTGCAGATAGTGAGTAACTGAACTGCAGACACAGGGTATTGTTGAAGTTAACGTACGTTCGTTATAGTGTTTGTTTTAGCGCGAATATTGAAATTACGTGTATCGTAAAGTTGTATTCGAAAAGAATAAACCAGTTTTATTAAGTAAGGACTTGTGTCGCTAAAGTTTCGTCGGAACGAAGTTACGGAAAGTTAATTAACAAACCGAGAAGTAACACAGTGTTTTTATTATTTGAAGAACGGTCAGTTGTTTATAATAAGTTATATACCCAATCAGAAGTATTTCAAAATATTTTCGAAGCCCTGTAAAAATCATATATATATTCCATAGCACACTCATTCAGAAAGTTTTCTAACTGGGTTGTAGACTTCTTTTTTTGGGAGGAGGGGAGATCTATTAAAACTGCATTTTACAAATTTCTTTAAGAATTACATATTTAATATTCTGATTTATTTACTTTCAGATTGCATAGCTTTAGGTTTTTCTAATGCAACATTGAATATTTGTGGATATTGTGTGGAAGGGACAACAGGTTTGGAAAAAAATTATGGAAAAGATTGTCGTGGAGTATGTGGAGGATCTGCTATCATTGACTGCACTAACGCTTGTGCTGGACAAGCTTTTGTGGATGAATGTACAGGAAAATGCATTGGTACATACTGAAGTTATTAGAAGTTAATTTGTAATTCATATATATACGTGGATTTTGTTTATCTCAACTAGTGCTCTAGTTTATGTATTTATGTTATTTAGAATGGTCTCCAATTTCTATTCCATAAGGTTGTTATGCAAGTACAGGTTAAGCTTTCTTAAATTATTTTCTCATAAAAAAAGGAATATAGGGGATTTGATTAAATTGCTTATGCTTGTTAATAGAATTGATAGTATCAATCCATCATCTTTTTTTCACACTTAATGATTAGAATGGTAGGACTAGGGAACAGAAACATAAATTTTGGCAGGGTATGAATCATCATGAGACAGTTTTATTTTTGTAACAGGATAATAGTTGGCCTTTGGAATGGGTTGACCTCAGATGTGGTGGAAGCTGTAAATTTAAAGAAGGTTAAGGGAAGACTTGATAAGTATCTAAAAAGAGCTGGGGTTAAGTGTTTTTCTAATAGTTTAGTTTATTGGATAGGACATCATATATGGACTGACAGGTCTCTGATTTTGTAATGTTTTTAATGGTGCCTGTCCATATATAATGTTTAGTATAAAAAAAATATCCTAAAATGTGATCTAAAGTGGAACAAACATTTCATCTAGGTGCAAAATATTTGCACTGTCAGTATCTAATAAAGATTGTTTTGACATAACTATTAATCAAGTTTTTTCACAGCATTTTCAACATGTATTCTGTTTTTACATTTACTGTACCCTTATTTAACTTTATAAAAAAAAAGTAGCACTAGTTCAGTGCATTATTACTTAATTTAACATTTTACTTTTCACACTTATGTATAGATTTACCATAACGATTTTATAAAACAAACTGTAAATGGTGTACTTCCTGGATATCCAGCAGTCTTAACTAATATCATAAAAGTTTTGTTATTAAATTACTCATACAAAACACAAGAAGAACAATTGGTCTGTTTTAAAACAAACAAAAACTTTTGCATGGTTTGCACAGGAGGTACAAGTTCAAGAAAAGAAGACAATAACCAGCATGACTGTAGAGGACTTTGTTTAAGTTCTTCAAAGTTTGAATACAGGAATGACATTTGTGGAGTATGTAGTAAAGCTTCAGGCACTTTCTCCATATTCTGGGACTGTACAAACACATGCCATCTACCAGGTATGCTAACAAAGTCAAGTTGCAATAGAATCACTAAAAAATATTATATATTGTTTAAATAAATAGTTGACACACTGGGTTTATAGTAGAATTGTATTTTATTATATCAGCTAATTTAAGGTTAAATTGGAAAAATGGTTGTGATATTTAATCATTGTTTAAAGTCTTTGTGTTATACATTAACGTTTGTGTTTACTGTATAAAAATTATGAGGCAATATGAACAGAATTTATCTTGTATGGTAATAATTTTTCTGTATGTACATTGTATCAGACAGTAAAAATTCATGTGTTCTGTCTAACGATATGGACAGTATGTGGCTACATAATACACTGTGTAAGTTCTTTTGGCTAAATGAACAGTGTCTGACAAAGAAGACGGTATATGTTTGCAGTTACATCTAATATATGTGTGTTTTCTATGTGGTTTTGAAAGCAAAATATAGTATGTGACCATAAAGTGATGACAATATGTATATTGTATATCATTACATGTACAGTATGTATGTTTTATCTGATGACATGAAGAGTCTGGCAATGATGACAATATGTATATTGTATATTACTACATGTACAGTATATATGTTTTAACTGAGGACATGAAGAGTTTGGCAGTGATGACAGTATGTATATTGTATATCATTACATGTACAGTTTGTATGTTTTATCTGATGACATGAAGAGTCTGACAATGATGACGGTTTGTTGCATGTCAGTACATGTATGATTTGTGTTATCCAATAACAACAAGTCAAATAATGTATAAACATCCATAGTGTTTATTTTGTCTGATAACATGGAAATTCTGACAACAAAGACACTGTGTATGTTGTACTTCACTATATGTATACTGTTTTATCTAATAACATGTCTGTCAATACAGTATGTATGTTGTATAACACTCCATGTGTAGTATGTATGTTGTATAAGATAGCATGGACATGGTTTGTCAAATAAGGCATTATGTATGTCAGATGTGATGACATGTACAGTGTATATATACACAGACAGTGTGTACTTTGTGTTGTTTTGTCTACAATGTCGAATGGGTGTGTCCTTATATGTATAGTGTTTACTTTGTGGGTCATTACATCTACAATGTGTATCTCTGTGGGTCATTGTACCCACAGTGTGTACCTTTATGGATCATTATATCTGTAGTGTGTAGTTTTGTGGATCATTATATGTACCTTTGTAGGTCATTGTAACCACAATGTGTGCCTTTATGAGTCATTGTATTGTTACGACAGTGGAAGTCACACGATGCTGGAAGCATGCACGATGCAGTTTCTAGAAGGATCTTGACTTTTCCTGGCAACTCTATTTTAGTATATAAGCCTGGCAAATAATTGCAGATAGAGAGTTATAGAGATAGATAATTGAGTCAAGCGAGCGGTAGTGATCGTAAGTAAAGTGCGTGAATCATTGTGAATTATAGTGTGTGTTTAAGTTAAAATGACTGTGGAAATTCTGTGTATTGCAAAGTTGTATTGAGAAAGAATAAACTACTTTTATTTAAAAAAGGACTTGTATCACTGAAATTATAACTGGAAATTAACAAACAAGCAGATACATAACAAATTGGTTTCAGAGAGTGGGATGAAAAAAAAAAAGAAGATGGAAATGAGAAGTAGCAAATCAAACTACAGCTTAGCAGATTTGATGGCAGCAATACAAGAACAGCAAAAGAAACAAGAAGAATGAGAAAAGAAACAAGAAGGGAGATTACAGCAGTTGTTGGAGAAAAAGAAAAGAAACAAGAAGAACGAGAAAATAAACAAGAAAAGATATTACAGCAGTTGTTGGAGGAAAAGAAAGAAAACAAGAAGAGAGATTCCAGCAGTTGTTGGAGGAAAAAGAAAAGAAACAAGAAGACAGACTACAGCAGTGGTTGGAGGAGAAAGAAAATAAACAAGAAGAAAGTCTCCAACAGTTGAGAGAAAGCCAGCACATACAAATGGAAAAGATTAGTAAATTTCAAAGTGAATTAAATACATTAAAGGATGATTTACTGTCTTTTACACAAGGAGCCATGGACCTAATCAGCCTCAGACAATGGGAAGCCCCTTCCAGACCCTGCAGCTAAACTCTAATGCAGACATCTTCAGTCCTGTCAGAAGTCACATTCCAGACATGAGTGTCAGCAATAGGCGTGATCTAGTATGAAGGAAGCCACAGGAAGTCGATGTGAAGGCACCGTGGGAAGCATATAGAGCACAATTTGAATCAAAATCAGTCCGAAGTCCACAGGTCTAGGTTTAGGACGAGAGTCCGTGCTCAAGGGGAGAGCTTCCAAGAGCTGGCACAGGATTTGGTAAGTATGGCAAACAAGGCTTACCCAACTACTCCACCCGATGCCCTCAAGTTTTTGCTGAGGGATCAGTTTGTAGATGCCTTGGACAGTCCACAACTGAAGATACAAGTAAAGCAAGCACACACCACTACTATACAAGATGCGATGGCCAGAGCTCTTGAATTCGAATCCTACATGAAGTCCAGCACAGAGGAACGAAGGTTGGTACAGTCATCAGGATTCAAGGCCAGAAAAGGGCAGCTTTCAGAGAGGTTTGAGGGACTTTGCTGGCACTGTTACAAACCGCGGCACAAGTGAGCTCAATGCTGGCAACTTCAACAGAGGGAAGATGCCACGGCAGGAAAGACTGCTACCCAGAAAGGTTGTTGAAACTGTGGAGAGCAAGGACATATGAGGAACCAGTGTAAGAAGAATACTACCAATAAGTCAGCCTCAGAGAAACCAGAAGTGATTCGTGTTGAGGGACGCCCATCGACCTTCATTGTGAAAGTCCCAATAGCTAAGTGTAAAATGGCAAGCACACATAGTGTCTACGTGACAAGAAAGCTGGATGGCCAAAGGTG